GGGGATGCTGACAGCTCCTGCTACAGGATATGAGGGTAAAAGAAGGGTGCCTTGCCCCTGAAAAACATACACTTCTAGTGGAAGAGACCAACAGGCAAATAAACTCAAAACTCAAACTCACTAACATGGAGTTGATTCTGACTCATAGTTACCCCCATTGGGTTTCCGAGCCTGAAGTCTTTACGGAAGGCAAATATATACTATAAATTAATACCCATACACATAGTTGGTCCCAGAGGAGTCTGACCTGAGACCTAGTATCTGCTATGTCTGTTGAACCAATGGCCCTGGGGTCCCTTCATATCTAATTTGTAGGCAGGGGCCTTCATGAGGAAGTTTTATGAACAGGTAATCTGGATAGGGATGTGATGGACTGCTGCATGGCTTTTGTTTCCAGGGACTAGATTCTACTAATGGAAGCCAAAGGCTTACCTTCACAAAGGCCATTTTGAAACCTGTGGTACAAGGTGTGCTACCATGTTACCTTGTGGGAAGTTGGACTCAGAGTTGGCAAGAAGTGCATTAGACCCATATCTCTAGTTAATACCATAAGGTTCCTGTGTATCAATAACAAAAGAGATGAGTTACTATCTGTAGCTATGGGGGTAACAGAAGGCTCTCCCCTGGAGCCAGGCAGCTTTCTCATCCGAAGGAGTCTGGCACCCATGAACACAGAAGTGATATGTCAGGGTACCCCTAAAATACCTTGGGAAGAGTTTGAGATAGAATAACCAAATAGGAATAATATGTCATTAGAGTACAAGAGATATGGTGAGATGTGGGGACATTTCATTTTCAGATATTGTATGTGTCACTAGCTGAAGAAAAGAGTGAGAGAAGATAAGTTATCTCTGAATGGCAGACAAGTAACAATAGGCTAAGACAGAGCAGACAGGTTAGAAGCCTGTGCCTAGAATAGAGGCCAGGGCAAAGGTAGGCAGAGGGAAGGGGACTAGATCTTCATGCTACATTGAATCCTTTGATGGTACAATGAAATGGGGTGTTTTTAAACTTGAGGAACCAAAAGAATGTAGAATGTAATGATAAGAACCTACAACCTGATAGTGACCCCTGTCACCCAGCCTCACTGGGCAGTGTCTAGCCCACTCCGGAGCTGGCCTGTATTCTGATTTTGACCAAAGGGAAATATTCAGACTCTGCATCTGACTAAGTACAGTGCAGCCACTCAGAATGACAGATGCCTGGAGGCCACTGGTTTCTTACTGTCATTGGCATTTCCTAGCCCTTGGTTTAGAATTCATTAATCACTGTGACCGACATAACTCAGCTAGAAATGTTTTAGCAAAATGATCTCAGTCACCTGGAATCTACTTTTATTTTCAGCTGGATGCAAGCCCCTCAGCTCTTTACTGCTAAAGTAGTAATCTCTGTTCAGGTTGTTGATTCAAAAATAACCGCAATGTAAAAACTTAAAAACAGCACACAAGTGATTTATGCAGCAGTCCCGGAGGTGGGCAGTGATGATTATGCCCATCTTACCAATAGGGAAATACACTCAAGGATGTTAAGTCATTTAGTCAAGGATTCATGCCCTTGAAGTACTAAGCTTGAATCCCAAACTAGATTTGAGTCCTAATTCAAAGTTTTTTTTTCCATTTCACCAGCTTCTTTTGAAGAAGATGGTATCTCCTGGAGGGCAATACCAACTGTAAGAAGAGATGTGTCAGCCTCGTGTTGAGTATCTTCAGTCTATGAAGAATCCTGTGCCCCTCTTCGCCCAGGGAGCATGACCCCCTCCCATACTAGTACTTTGTCTTCAGAGATCCTGCAGGGACTCATGACTAGAACCCAGGTGTTTGCTAGAAAGCCCCAGACTAAGAAGGTGGTAGCTACATCTCTACTGATACACGACCATTTCCTCAAAGGCATCCAAAACTCCAGTCTGCTACAGAGATCTGCAATGAACTGCAAATGGATTCCCCATTTTGTTCTCCAAAACAAAGTGGCTGAAAATTGTGATATAAAGAAGACCTCAGCCACCTATCTCCAGGGTCTTGGGAGAACATAGCCTTTGGCCCCACCCA